TCGGTCCTTGCGTTGTTGCAAGTTTCAACAAAGTGGGCAATGTGCTGTTTCGGGTTTCCCTTTCCATCGAATTGCATGAACTTTGGCGGTTGATAACCCCTCGGCATCTTTAAGGCGTCAATCTTCTTTGAATACGACTTCGAGTACAACCCGGAGGTATTTGAGCTCCCTTCGTACTGTGCCTTGATGGTGTTGGTGATCATCTCCTGCAGCTGCTGGATAGAAAGAGATCCCATAAGTGTCGTTGCTTGGTTTGGCTCGGCTTCACATCGATTTTCTTCATCGGAGGCTCCTCTTCTCCGCCAGTTCCTCCCTTTAGTGGATCATCCTCTGGGTCGGGTTTTTCGCCGTCCTGTACCTCCAATCGGTTGACTAGTGCTGCAATTTACAAGTCTTTTTCTTCCACAGTTCGGGTTAGCCTTGCGATTGCTTCATTCATTTGAGCCAGTTGCTCTTCGATGGAGGTAACGTCGATGGTCATGACTTGTGTAACCAATATATGTGACTTTCCTTTAGATATCCAGGATGCTGACGAAGAACGTCGTTGGCTGCTTTGGGATGTCATCTTGTGTGCCTCAGTAGCATGCTTTGGTACACCCAATGAGGTCAGGTTGATGACGGACTCGCGCCTTTGATGCTCCCCTTGCTCTTTTAGCAGCATTAACTTTGAAGTGGCATGTTGAGGAGCGTTTGTGGCGCCAATGGATGCTCCGTTCATGGCTGAAATGCTCAGGCTTCTTCCCTTTGTGAGAACGGCTTGTCCCTTGCTTGATGCCATTGATTTTTGGAAGTGTGCTTGAATTTCTTGAACGGAGAAAGAGATGAGAGGCAGAGATTGTCCCACTGGGCGTGCCAAATTTGTGAACACGAAAATTTCCTAAAACGAAAGAGACAAGAACAACGTGCACAAAATAATATTTGTATTTGATGATTTTGGGTTACAATCTCTCTTAAATTTGATCCTCTGATTCGATCTCCATAAGGTGTTGATTTGTGGATGTGCGATTGATCCAAAGGGCCGTTGGGCTTGATCTAAGGATGAACGTTCTTCAAGGGCTGTGGACTTGATCTTAAAGGTGGATTTGAGCGGATCTTCAAGGAGCCGTTGGGGCTTGATCTTGAGGATGAGCGTTTCTTCAAGGGCCGTTGAGGCTTGATCTTGAATAACGGTGATGAATGGATCTTCAAGGGGCTTTTGGGTTTGATCTTTGAAGAACAGTGATGAACGGATCTTCAAGGGCTTTTGGGCTTGATCTTGAAGAACGGTTGGGTGTGTGGATTTGTTGATGTTGTTGATCCAAGGGCCGTCGGGGCTAGATCTTGGAAGAACGAAGAACACTTTCTTCAAGGGCCGTCGGGGCTTGATCCTGAATTGGTGGAAGTTCTTCAAGGGGCCGTCGGGGCTTGATCTTGAAGGTGGATGATTGTTGATCCAAGGGCCGTCGGGGCTTGATCTTGGAAGAACGATGAACGAAGAACGAAGAACGAAGAACACTTTCTTCAAGGGCCGTCGGGGCTTGATCTTGAATCGGTGGATTGTTGATCCAAGGGGCCGTCGGGGCTTGATCTTGGAAGAACGATGAACGAAGAAAGAATAAGGCTTTCTTGATTCTTCGGGAATCTGGATGCTTGAGAGCTTCGGAGTTTCAGAGCTTCAGAGCTTCAAGGTGTAATATGAATTCCTCCTTAAAATGAAATGAAATTGGCTTCTATTTATAGAATTTTCCAAGGCCTAATTTTGAATATAATATTCCAGATGAAATAAGTCGTTTCTGCCATGTGTTGACACGTGTCCTGTTTGATGACTTTCCGACTCATTTCATTTTTTCGTCGAGTCATATGCTACGTGTAAAATTTATGTAATATATGAGCGTTGAAACTTTGATTTATCGATCAAGGGTTATTTACCAAAATTTTGATGTCTACAATAATATAAAATCAACTCATCACTGGAGAAATTTTTAGTTATTACGGGAACACAAGTAGTACATCACGTGTTTTAATAGGAGTGGTGAGAAATTTTATTTTTTAAGTTATTAACTTTTTAGCACACATATCCCACCATTTGTATAGTGACACGTGGTGTACCACCCGTGTACCACCCGTGTACCGGTTATACTGAAAAATCTCTCCTCATCACTGGTCATATTGTATTTTCCTGGGCCACCTTCAAAAGGGCAGTAATAGCAAGTGATCCTGACATTATTTCCGACTTTATAGTCCCACCAGATTACAACGGTACAGTTGATGGAAAGTTCTTCACTTTCACTGGATTTCACGGCATCTTCGATCAAGCTCCTCAAACCGTTAAGGCGTCAAAGACAAGCATTGTTGAGTTCCCAGCTCTCAATGGCCAAAGTGTGTCGTATACAGTACTTTAGTTCACACCCGCCCGGACGAAACTGGACTGTTGTTTCTTCTTGATGGTACCTTGGAAGTAGGGTTGATCGACACGAAAAACAATCTATATACTCAAAAGCTTCAAACTGGAGATCTGTCTGTTTTTCCCGAAGGATTAGTCCATTACCAGTACAACTCGGATCTCAGTTGCCAGCCACCGCCATTGCAGCATTCGGAAGTGCAAGTGCTAGAGCAGTTACAGTCGTGCCGTCTGTATTTGGCACGGGAATAGACGGTGTGATCCTTGCCAAATCATTTAAGACACATGTTGGTACCATTGAGAAGATCAAGACTGGCTTCAATACCCACTAGCTCCTACATAGCAAAGTGCAACTGAGCTTAATAATTCGCTTATTATGCAAACTTTGATTTGATAACTTTGTGTTTTGGATTTTGTTGACGTATGGTTTTCCCTTTAATTCTATTTTTTTAATAGAGTACTTATTCGTTAAAAAAAATAATATTTCCCTCATTTCTAGTAAGAAGGACTAAGGTGACATCATTTTATTGTACGGTTATTATAATCAGAATTGTTCATTATTTTCATCATTTAAAGATCATGTCTAGAAAATAAAAAACACAAGAGTCATTTTCTACTTTCATTTGGTTATAAGGATCTTCAGGGCCATTCGCTCTTTTTATCATCATGTATATCTATAACTGTTCATTCTTATTTTGGGGAATCAGATTGTTGCAAAGGTAATGAGATTGTTGGAAACCAATGGAATTCAGTTCTTACTCCAGTGTTTCAGAATGTTAGGAATTGGAATCACAGTTTCATCTTCAGAAAGGACCATGAGTTAGTGCTTGTATGCTTCAGAATTATGGCAAGCTTTTGTTTTGTAGAACCCCGAGTTGGGAAGTCAATGTCTTTCATAGCTTTATTTACCCTTGGTCGAAGAAGATTTTGGATTCAAGTATCATAGACTACAATTTTTCAATAAAAAGCTAAAACACATACATTTATCTTGCAAGTTGCATCTCATGTTGTCAAATATTGCAGCCAAGTACGTCCATCGTAGTTCCAAAGCCAATAATGGATTCTTCTTCATGAACACACGTACGTTGCTGTCATTTTCCATGCAAAAACTCTCGTTTGCATACGTATGTACGTCCAAAAAACTTCAGACAATTAATTGACTAATTATTAATCGGAATATAGGAAGCATTTTATGCTCATCACCATAACTATGGTGTATGCTTACCATACATCTAATAATTTGACATGTGTTATTTCACTTAACTTTAGTTAACTTTCACATCAAATGTTTCTTTTTCAATTAACTTTGGTTAACTGTAGTTAACTTTCACATTAAATGTTACTTTTTCACATTAAATGTCATTTCATCTAATCATCTGTCACATGCCCTTTCACTTAACTTTGATTTTTTTGTTTTCAAAATTGAAAAAAGTAACATTTAATGTGAAAGCTAACTACAGTTAGGTATAATGACACATGGCAGATGATTAGATGTGTGGTGAGTATACACCATAATTATGATGGTGAGCAAAAATGCTCCCGAGAAAAAAAGCAACCTCGGAATATATAATATGTCAGCTATGCTATGAGAATAAACAGCTGTGAAATAAAATAGTAGAGTGTTTGGTAAACTTTTTTTTGTGAAAGTGCTTTTAGCAAAACAAAACAGTGTTAAAGTATTTGGTAAATTTTTATGTAAAACCACTGTGACTGTGTAAAATGACTAAAAAAGATATGATGTTGAATATTATATAATAATTTATGACATTTATAAGATTTATATAAACTATTTATAAACAGTTATAAACCCCTAAGAGCCGATTAGTTCGGACCAGCGGTGGATTGTTGTCTATCTTATCGAACAACCGGTTAGGAGCCTTCTTCTTGATTAAGAATCTGGACACGAGAACTGAGTTCATGTGAATGAGTACGATCAGGACAGGTGCTGGAATCGACTGAGAGATCTCCAAACGGGGAAGCAATTGACGGTCGACGAGTTCGAGAAATGTGTCGGTTACTCATCGGTGGTGAAAGAGGTTATGCGAAGATAGAGCATTTCTAGCGAAGGCAGTGGTGATGACAGGAAGGTTGGTGCAGGGGCAAATTCGTTTGTTTCGAAGAGCCTGAGTATGAGCAAGAGAAGAAGGGTTGCTCTGTTGAAGAACAGCATACGAGGCGTGGGGACAGCTGTGAGTGTGTTGACTGGGGAGAAAGAGAGGGAAAATACGATGTCGCCGCTGACACCACCGCCGGAGCAGAAACCCGCCAAGAACTCGAGTTCTTCTTCATCGGCTTCATCGGAGTAGGTCAAAGTTAGGCAGACAGGGAAGCATTACAAGGAGTTATCGGCATTGCATTAGAATCAAGAGATTCAAGCTCATGAGGGGGCAAGCAAAAAAAGCTGGTTTTTCAAAGTTGGGTTTTGCAGCTTTGTGTTTTTGGCTTTTTTTTCACCCAAAAATATGAAAAAAACTGAAGTTGAATGTTTACCAAACACAAAAAAACTTTCAACTTTTTTTTTATACTCACTTTTTTTTTTATGCTCACTTTTTTAGAAGCACCTTAGTACCAAACCAGAGCTAAGCCTTTCAATCCATATATCGTCAGAATTTCAGCCAAATTAACTAATTAAGTTGATGTTATTGTTAGCCGTATAGTGTATACAGCTCCGGTAAGCATATATCTATGCCGTCTTGTCCGTGACTCTCAGGCCAACTAAGAAGAAAACAGAGAAAATGACAACACAAATCTCAACAATACAAGCTGATTATTTAGCTCCTCAAAAGGCAACACAGGCAAGCGTCGAGTTTCCAGTTCCCTCAAGGCAAGCGTGGTCGAGTTTCCTTTTCTTAACGACCTGAGTGTGTCAAACGCAACGCTTCATCTTCCACCAAACTCACTATTCCCACCTCACACTCACCCCGGCGCATCTGGATTTATGTTCCTGATGGTTCCTTGGAATTAGGCCTAACCAACACGAAAAACAATCAATACACTAAGAAGCTTGAAGCTGGAGATGGGTTTCTGTTTCCTCCAAGGGATTTGATTCGAGTTGGTCTGCTAAAACAATGTATACACTAAGAAGCGCTTTTCCATCTGAATTGAATAACAATCCGATTGTGCATTACTGAGAGCAGATACTTGATCCGAACTATTGATAGCATTCCTACTTTTACATAACCGAATTTTGGTACAACATCGACTGAGTCTGTCAAAACGTATATATATTTATTATTTACCCTTTGTAGAAATCTGCTGCAGAACGGCGGTCTTGCTTGCATTGAGCCTCATTCTTATCGTCTCTGCTATGAGATGAATTCATCTTCATGAACTGAAATCCCATTATATACCGATATTCACCAGTCCCAAGGCAGCGGGAGCAGTAACCGAGACCACTTCCACCGCAAGTCCTGCACCTGCAAGAGTGGTTGAAGCAGTTTATGGGAGCACATTCAGAACTGGGCAGAACTTGCAGTTTACAATGTATACGAAGTCTTGAAACATCACCATTTTGGCCATTCTCCTTTGGGGAGCATCTTCATGTCAATAAAATTTGTCCTTCCTAGAAGATAGAAGATAACAGAGTATTAGAGACAGAGAAAAGCAAAAATTGTATATAAAGATAGAATTGCAAACAAACATAGGAATCCACACATCTAGCCAGACATTATAAACATACAAAAAAACCTCCAAACATCTGAAAGACGGCAAAAAACTGGTGTAACAGGTCTGGACTCGAAATACATCATGATTTGACACATCCATTTTTCAATGTACAGTGAATTCCATATCAGAAGACTGGGGATAAAATAACCAGTCCATCTGGACAAAGCGTATATTTGTTTACCGTATGTTGGCAACCTAACTTCAGAGGATGGTTAACAAATTTGTTAAATAAGAATGTTTATGCGAATCACATATCAATTGAAGTTAGTTTGTCGTCCCGTAACTTAAGTATATTTCTTAACTGCTACAGATGATTGAAATCTTTAAGTAAAGAAAACAGTCTTATTGTATTCAAAGGCTTAAAACAAAGGAAAGTCAAGAACTCAGCAGTACAACAACTTCAGTATTGAAAAGTAAACACTGACTTCAGTGGCATACGCTGATGGTAAAACTTTTTAATCTTAACTATTCTCTCAAAAACCAACAGATTTCGGTGGGAAAATGATAAATCCAGAAACATCTCTTAATCGTTTTTTACTGCACTTCTGGTATAACTTCAATATTTCAGGAAGACTGAACTATATTTGTTGTATGCCTCAGAACCACGGAAAGGTGTGTCCTTTAAGTTTGTTCCCAATGCACAAGGCTCCCGCTTTACGCAGGGTCTGGGAGAGGTCGCACTTGGTGCGATGGCAAGTGCCTTCGCCCATGAGCGGTAGGTCGCACTTGGTGTGTCCTTTAAGTTTGTTAAAATAAAAAAAACAAGGCAGAGGCACCTAAGCAGCATTAAACGAAACAATTCAACATTTGCTTATGTCAGATTAAAGTCAACTGATAAAAGCACTGAAAATAAGCAAACAATAAAAATGCTAAGAATAGTGTGTACAAATGGAAAGAAAGAGAGAGACCTCTTCCACAACAATCGTGGCAATTGACCCTTCCGCTCCCAGTGCAGACTTCACAAGGAGGATCCGGCTTCTTCCTTACTTCTCTGTGAACATTTGACTGCAACAAACAGCGCGTGATCCAAAAGTTAAACACACAAAGCATGAGAAACACATGCCACATATCCATCCCTTACACTTTAGCAAGAGCTAAACATTGAGTTTTGCAGATAATTTTGATAAAATTTCTCGAAAAACCAATGCCGATACAGGCACTTGAGTGTCTATGATTGGCAGAATACAAATCACCACTATTTCAGCCCACATTCCAGAATCCAATGATTTTCACAACTATGGTTTTAGTTTAATGTCAGATATGCATAAATTATCTAAATTATGCTGAAAGATTCATCCAATATTCAAAATATTATTATAGAATTCTCCAAATAAGATAATAATAATCAACAATAATACAGAAAACCCCAACTGAAATTCTGAAATTAAATTTCAAAGCAAATATAATTTCACCCGACTAAAAATTTCAACTTTTGAAACAATCCCAATACAGAAAACCCCATTTGGGTTCTAGTAATTCAACATCTAAATATAAATTCTTGTCTTTGTTTAATTTTAATTGACTTCTCTTACTTAATTTCCACCATTTTCTCAGGAATCAAACAAGAGATATGAAGAACTTGCCTCTGTACGGACGACCCAAGAGGGCTTGGAGAGGGAGAGTCGGGGCCGCGCCTCTGGATTCCGCCGCGGAGGAAGAGCACCGTTTGATTTTGAGGCTTCGAATCGGACGGCTGGTAGTGAGCTCAGGCTTCTGACTGCCATCTATCACTGCCTTTAGAATCGGAAAGGCGGCCTTATGGATAGTTCCTTCATTGTTTTCTTTTCCGAGAAAATTGCGCAAATCGCAACTTAAATTTCTTTAATTTTGTTTATTTCCCACTCAATCTATTTTCTTACAAATGAAATTCCCACCGAGACTCTAACTCGTTGGACAATATTTTAACCCTACACATTTTCCATCCACAACTTCGTTAAATTTATTATGAATATTAATTAATATATGATTGTATAAATACGAGTTAAATTTGGTTTTTAAATTATTTATTATTCTAGTGATTATTTTTGTATAAGATTTTATTTATTTGAAGGGTAAGTTAATTCGTTTGTTATAAATAAGGACACTGATATATGGAGAATCACACAATCTCTAAGCATTCTACAATTTTTCCACTCTATATATTGCCGCACCTCTCTCCCTCAAATAAAATAAGTCATAACATGTATCAGCAAATTAAATAGGTATCACGTTATTAGCACGCTCCTATGTTGCAATATGGAATTTGATGAGGAATTCGTGGTACATACCAAGTTGTATCTTATGAGGAATTCCTGGTACATACCAGTTCATGATATCATTATCGCAATCTAGGTTCTTCTAAAACACGATCTTTGTTTGTACCATACTTGACCAATCCCGAAACTATCGAGCATCGGTCAACGTTATACCATCAAGGACCCAGAAGAGTTTCCCTCCAACCAGGAGGCCAATCACAGAGCGACACGTGTCGACATCAGAAGCCAATCATAGCGCGACACGTGTCAACATCGGAAGCCAATCACAACAAGACACGTATCAATGTCAGAGCAAGGCTAGAAACTCTATTCTATAAAAGGAGATCATTCTCCTACAATATTTCCTAATGTCATTTGTACTAAATCATTCACTTGTACTCACTAAAGGAAAGCTTGAACCTATGTACTTGTGTAAACCCTTCACAATTAATGAGAACTCCTCTACTCCGTGGACGTAGCCAATCTAGGTGAACCACGTACATCTTGTGTTTGCTTCCTTGTCTCTATCCATTTACATACTTATCCACACTAATGACCGGAGCAATCTAGCGAATGTCACAAATTTAACACTTTCTGTTGTACCAAAGTCCTCACTGATTTTGTGCATCAACATTTGGCGCCGTCTGTGGGAACGACACTTATTCCCACTCTCTTCAGCTTTGTCAAGCTAGCTCCCACCATTCGTACACTCTCTTTTGACTAGGCATCCCTCTCTAACATGGAGAGCGAAGGAAGCCACAACACACAGAATAACACCCCTCTTACACCTAGTGCGAAGCAACGAAAGAAGGAAGGAAAGAGGGTTACTTTTCAAGCTAAAGTCGATGAGCTAGAAGCTCAAAACAACAAGATATCAATGAAGAATGAGGTCATCTAGGAGTAGTATGAGAAGCTCTTTGAGACGTTCCACGAAACTAAGCGTACTCAAACACGTGAGCTCGTTGCCCTGGTGGACATTAACCATCATCTGGGTACCCCCCAACATGGAGGGTCACCTCCCTTCGACATGGGTATCCCTGATGAAGAGCGAGCTAATCATCAAAATATTGATCAACATGAGACTTCTCTCAACCCAGATGCTTCAACCTAAAGCAGGAGAAGTGGAGTAAGACACCTCATTGCAGAAGGGTTGGAAGGATCAAAAGCCATTTATCGTGACTGCCGAGACTTCCTAAAGCAACATCTAGAGAATCCCCTCCACATATGCTCGAAGATCAATGACCCAAGGGTTTCTGAAAGACTCGGTTCCCTCCCACGACCCAAGCCAATTGCCAATCTAGGGAAGGAACAACAAGTCTTAGAGGAACATAAAGGTACATGAGACTCTGAGGTATTCCTACAGACTCGCCCTAGAAGTCAATACGGCGGGTCCAAGAAAAAACCACAAGCATTTGCTCAAACTTTCCTACTTCTAAAAGGCGATGGAGACTTACGAAAGAAAATTCTATTGGTAAATGACTTCACTCAGAACCCCCTTATCTTACAGCTCATTGAAGAAGTAAACAAGTTGAAGGCCGAACGTCAGGCCGAGATACCTGACTGGAACCAACCCAGGCCTGGCCCTCTCACAAAGAGGATCCTTGACACCCCCTTTAAGCGAAGACAAAACAAAAGCTTGGTTTACAACTCTATACTGGAAGGGAGGACCTAATTGAACACCTTAACCTCTTTGAGTCCACCATGGCATATCGGATGAACACCGACGAAGAGTGATGTCTTCTCTTCCCCTCCACCCTCTCTGATGGAGCTCTAAACTGGTATTGCCATCTTCCACCTGAGACAGTAGACTTATTTGAGGAACTGAGGAAACTATTTCTCTCAACACATCTTCCAGGCCGATCGCTTGCATTCTACAGATGACTTGTACACTATTCGCCATAAGCTGGATGAGTCACTACGAGAGTATGCCGGTTGCTTCAACCATAAGTATTCTCGCTGCGCTGAGGCAGATGACAAGACCGCCCTCAAGGCCTTCACAACAGGCCTACGTGATTGTTTCTTCAAGTTCATGATCAATGCCAACATTTGGAAGACTTACTTTGAGGTGATGGCACAGACTTACAACCACGCCTCCGCCGAAGCAAAGACATACCAAGGGAACCCCCATATGGTTAACCCCTATCAACAAGTGGGAAGTGGAAGTCAAGTTCTACCAAGTGAGGAGATTTTGGCCATTCAGACACCCATTGCATCATCTCCTGCCTCATTTAGCTACTCGCTAAGTCACTAAACGTATTTGTCTTTTGGTAAGAGGAAGGATTTTTACTCTCAGCAAGCCCATTACAACAAGAGGGATAAAAGTTCGTATCAAGACAACCAGGGGTGAACGTACCGTCGACTATTATGACTATGGGGCCAAGCCTCACTCTTTCAAAGTGGAGGACTAAGTAATGAAGGAAATGCTATTATAAGAAGGCATACACATTACAAATGTTTTGACTCTCAACCGCTTGAGATCTTTTGTCACACAAGCCATTCGACAAATATTTAAAGAAGAGGGAATTCAGACAACTTCTAAGTCTTTTGCTTTCCTAGCACTGGAACACTTGGTCGACGCTGACCTACCCTTATACTCCAACTCAGAGCTTCAAAATGCGTACTTTGACACAAAGTATGTGATACTAAGTGTTACAACCAACATGGTTCACATATCAAAAGCATGGATCCCTTCATGCATATCAAAACATTCATAAGCATCACTCATATCAATTAACATAAACATCATACATTCCAACACATTCATACAAAAACATCATACATTCCAACACATTCATACATAAACATAATACATTCCAACACATTCATACATAAACATCATACATTCCAACACATCCATACATAAGCCAACTGTGCTTCGAAAGGGTTCAACATACTTTGTGTCTTCGACACTTGCTACAATGTGCATCGACACCTTGCCCTTATTCTCACCAACTAGGTGATGAAATATGAAGAAGGAACTCATCTTCATGCCACCAACCAGGTGATGAAATATACAACCCGTACTCTAATATCATTTGGCAACTTGCCACTCATGCCACCAACTAGGTGAAGAAGAAACTCATCTTCATGCCACCAACCAGGTGATGAAATGTACAACCCGTACTCTAATATCATTTGGCAACTTGCCACTCATGCTACCAACCAGGTGAAGAAGGAACTCATCTTCGTGCACTAACCAAGTGATGAAATGTACAACCCGTACTCTTTTTCATGCCACCAACCAGGTGATGAAATGTACAACATGTACTCTAATATCATTTGGCAACTTACCACTCATGTCACTAAACAAGTGAAGAAGGAACTCATCTTCGTGCCACCAACCAGGTGATAAAATGTACAACTCGTACTTTTCTTCATGCCCCCAACTAGGTGATGAAATGTACAACCCGTACTCTAATATCATTTGGCAACTTGCCATTCATGCCACCAATCAGGTGAAGAATGAACTCATCTTCGTGCCACCAACTAGGTGATGAAAGCAACTCACCATTCATTCCACCAACTAGAAGACGAGTGGTACAACTTGTACATGTGAACTCCTAGCATTCACAAATAATCAAAAGCCTTCATGTTTTACAACTCAACTAGGGGAGCATTTATGCCCAACAAGAGTTATAGTCACCAACAAAGTCTTATTGCAAGCCAACAACAACTTCGGTGCATGGCATACGAAGATCAAACTATTCAGCCCTCCTGCATTTGCTTCAAAAATTTCTCTTTTGTAACAATGCAAACACTACAAGGTGTGGCTTGCAACACAATCTCTTGCTCAACAGTGTGGAAGCAAAATTTGTATATGTTGTCATCAAAGAAGTTTAACCACAATTCTCAAAAGCTTCACACACTCTTGATCAAGACAGTGTGAAGCAAAACCAATCTATGGTGCCAACAAGAGCTTCATCAATGGAGGACAACCACAATTCTCAAAAGCTTCACACTTTTGATCAAGACAGTGTGAAGCAAAACCAATTTATGGTGCCAACAAGAGCTTCATCAAAGGAGTTCAACCACAATTCTCAAAAGTTTCACACACTCTTGATCAAGACAGTGTGAAGCAAAACCAACATATGGTGACAACAAGAGCTTCATCAATGGAGGCCAACCACAATTCTCAAAAGCTTCACACACTCTTGATCAAGACAGTGTGAAGCAAAACCAATTTATGGTGCAAACAAGAGCTTCATCAAAGGAGTTCAACCATAATTCTCAAAAGCTTCACACACTCTTGATCAAGACAGTATGAAGCAAAACCAATTTATGGTGCCAACAAAAGCTTCATCAATGAAGGGCAACTACAACTCGTAGAAAGCTTCACACATTCTTGATCAAGATTGTTCGAAGCAAATTCAATTTATATGGTCCATCCAAACCTTCGACGACTACAAGGTGTGGCTGGCATCACAATCTCTTACTCAATAGTGTGGAAGCAAAATTTGTATATGTTGTCTCTCCCACATTTTCAAATTTCTAATTTTCCCAAAAAAAAAAAGGAAATTGGGAAATTCAACAAAGCTTCATCAATGGAGGACAACTACAAATTCTCAAAAGCTTCACAGTATCTTGATCAAGATAGTGTGAAGCAAAATCAATTCATGGTACCCAACAAAACTTCACCACAAAAGCTTCA